CAAGGAATTGAAGATGTGAAAGTGAGTCATGCAAATATCTGAGGGAAAAGCCAAGGCTAAGGCCTTGAGGCAGGAACATGCCTGATATGCTCAACAACAGTGATGAAGCCCGAATGGCTGGAACATAGTGAGCTGGGGAAGTTTTTGGCCTTATAAGTTGGAAGGATGGAGTTGTTATTAATGGAGATGTGGATGGCCTCTGGCAGGTTTGGGAGGGAAGATTAGGGGCTCAGTGTGAGGCATATTGGAGATGACTATTTCATATCCAAGTAGAGGCGTGCAATGGGCAGATGGATATATGAGTCTAGAGAAAACAGATGTGTAGGCCTGAGACATAAAATTAGAAATCAACAGCATTAGAAGGTATTTAAAGTCATAAGATTGGATGAGATTCCTAAGGAAGTGAGGTCTAAGGACTGAACTCTGTGGCACTCCCCTGTTAAGATTTGAAGACAAAAAGAGAAATCTGATGACTCAAAGATGACTCAGAAGGAACTGCCAGGGAGGCAGGAGGAAAACTAAGAGAGCATGGTGTCATGGAAGCCAAGTGAATAAAGCAGTTTTAGGAGAAGGAATGAGCGATCGACTGCATTAAATGCCACTGACAGACAGATTAAGATGAGAACTGAAAATTGACTACTGAATTTAGCAATGTGGAGGTCACCAGTGATCTTAACAAGAGCAATTTTGGCAGAGTGGTGTGCATACGACTCTGACAGGAGTAGGTTTAAGAGACAACGGGAGGAGAGAAATTAGAGACAATAAGTTTAGAAGTTTCAAGAATCTTCGCTGTTAAGTGAAGCAGAGAAAGGGGTGGTAACTGGAGGTAGAAGTGAGGTTAATACAGGCTTATTTTTTCTTTTAAGATGGGAGAAATAATAGCATGCTGATGGGAATGATCTAGCAGAGATCAAAAAATTGAAGATGTAAAAGAGGTAGGGAGAATTGCTAGTGATATATCCTTCAATAGGCAAGAAGTACGGAATGGGCACACATAGAGAGGCTGATTGTTGGATTGTGGAGAGTTCAATCATGGCTAAAGGAAGAAAATCAGGGTATAAGGAAACAGCTGCTGGTGGATGGGTAGACATGGTGATGGAGTATGCAGAAGTTCTCTTCTGAGTACCTGAATTTTCTCAGTGACGGAAGAAGCAAAGTAATCAGCTGTAAGTGAGGGTAACAGAGAAAGTTTTGGAATAGGGGAAGAGACATGAAAAAAATCATCTTAGAAATCATTTTGGATTGTGCTACTCAAAGTGTGGCCCAAGGTCCTGTGCTGTTCTGCAAATTGTTTGTTACTGGTCCACGATAAACAATTTAACAGTATAGAAATTCAGAAGAAGTGTGTCTGGTGTGATCAGCGGATTTGTCTCATTATACAACACACTTTCCATGAACATGTACAATTTTTGTAATTTTATTCCTTCTTTTCCTATTTTATGATTATTCTGTGTATATTTATTGAATTGTAATTTCATTTTTGTTAAATCTAATTAAAAGTTGGGCTTGTATTTTTATGTCTTCTTAAAATTTCATTTTTCTTAACAATTCATTTTATTGTATTTTGTTGCTCATGATGACATGGGGAAAAACTGGTCCTTCACCATGCACAGATTGAGAAGCACTAGTCCAGGAGAGTTGGACAGTAAATGGACTAGGAAAATGTTTTGTGATTACCAAAAAGCATTAGGGGCTTACAGGAGGTTTGCAGCCATTAGTTTAAAGACCATCAGGATGGCGGAGTGATGTTCTCCAGACACATTATGCTGCATAAAAGCAGGGCAGGATAGATGAGGAACAGGATTTAACCAAGCTATCATATTGCAAAGTGAGTATGATGATACAAGAGAAGGGCAGGGAAAGAGTATGCAAGGGATGACCTTGGAATGATTGACCACGTAATTCAGGCTGGGTGAAAAGAGAAGAGAGGATATCAGAGGTATGAGGGGCAGAAACGGTGATAGGACTGATGGACCATAGGTCCCAAAAGGATTGAAGACTTGTTGGAATAAGGGATCATCTAGAAAGACAGGAGATGATGGTCAGAGAGTAAGATGCATGCAATTGAGAATATGAAGAAGTTGTAGCAATGAGGCGGGGTAGAGGAAAAGATTCTTAGAGGAAAGGAGTTCAAGGAACTGAGAGCCACTGTATTCATAGAATCATCTCTGTGGACACTGGAATCATCACAAATTAAGGCTGGAGTAGCACTAGAGATAATGACAATGAGCCAGGAGCAACAAAAAAACGCCAGGGGCATTAAAAAAGCCAGGAGCAACAAAAAAATGAGGAGGTATGATTGGGGGTTGGAAGATGACTACAACATGAGATTCAGAGTTTGGGCTTTTTAGGGAAAATGAGGGAGAACAGATAGGAAGCACGCCTGAAAGGAGAAGGACATCTACTATAGACAGCATGACATAAGGGCTGTGGGAGAAAAACACCCATCACTTGACAGCACTTCACAGAAGACAGTGTCCTTAGGGAAGACACAGGTTCTCATGAGACCAAGAAGTTAAGGGACTTCTTCAGAGAAGAGGTGGAAGAAACAGCTGATTTTGCTGATGATGGGCCATGAGTTGCAGAGGGCATGGTGAAAGGGTTTAAAGAGGTAGGAAAGGATGAGTGGAAGGCCGGGACAGAAAAGACTATTTACAGAGCCATATGTAGAGTGTGGGATATGAGGGGTTTCCCCAGGTGTCCAGGGCTACTCATGATGACTGGCATAAAAAGGGATAAAGTATATAAGATATTATTTTAGGAAATTATTCATCATGGATAGTTATTTTATCAGACAAAGGGAGCCCAGGCCTGGATTACTCAATTGATCAGTAATATTTAATCAACAGATTCTATCTTGGTTCTAAGTAAGGCATGCTTCTTGATCTTATGCTATCTATCCTCAGGCTATTTAACTTCTTACAGTACTACACTGACTAAAATGTAGGTAAGGGCAAAAAGGTGGCAAATGATCTGTTCATATCACTCTTTATTAATAGCTCTGATCAAAGACTGCAGACAGAGCAAGTTAGTTAAAATGAGTATTTTGAATCACCTGTTTATTCAAATTGGATAATTAGAAATCTTCTATACATAGTCACTCTACCAATTTTTATTATGTATCTACTTAATATAAACACAGCAACATGTACTAGACTGTACCAGAAAAGGCTGACCTTTATTAAATTATTTTAATAAAATTAAATTTAATAATATTAAAATTCTGGAAAAGGGTCATGGGCAGGGAGATAGTAACAAAAGTAAGAACATTTTTAGGGGCCAGCCTGATGGCATAGCGGTTAAGTTCGCGCATTCCGCTTCGATGGCCCGAGATTCACGGGTTGGGACCTACTCACCACTCATCAAGCCATGCTGAGGCGGCATCCCACATAGAAGAGCTACAACTCTACAACTATGATGCACAACTATGTACTGGGGCTTTGGGGAGAAAAAAGAAAAAGAGGAAGATTGGCAACAGATGTTAGCACAGGGCAATCTTCCTCAAAAAAAAAAAAAAAGAACATTTTTAAATGGCTGGAGAAAAAGAATAAGCAAGTTCTTCATAGACGACACATTAGCTGGGCCCTTGCAAGTAAGTACTGCCTATTAAAATAAAAGAAGAAACGGAAATTGCTTTATTGTTAGTACCTTGCGTTTACTACATTAAAAAATGCTGAGTAAGAGAAGGGACAGAAAAGAAAAGGGACAGAGAGTGAGGAGAGAGAGAAGAGAAAAGGGAGGGAGGGATCCACAAATGAGAATTGAGAAATGTATTTCCTGTTCATTGCTGCCTCTTTTCACTTTTCAGGAGGGATGACTTCACTAAATTGATATTCTACCTATAGCTTTCTAGTTATTCATATATATTTTTGGCAATTAATCTTTCTCCTTCATTGAATCAGATCTTTTCTTCTCCCTCCCTCTCATTATCCCTCTTCTTTGTCAAGATCATATTCACTCATTTTTTTATGTTGCGGAGGTTGGGAGTAGGATGGTTTTATGGCCCTACCAAATCAGAATGATACAAACTATCTGATAAATCACCAATAAGTAAATGAATTATTTGGATGTAGAAGGATCTGTACATGTAACAGTTTGAGGAGTAAAGCAGTAACAGTATATGATAAGTTCAAGAGTTTTTTAATTTAGAGGGACAGAAAGTTTACCTAGAACTAGATATCTGTGCTAATTACACTCTGTATGCCTCTCTAGATCTACTCTCTGCCCTTCTCTCCCTTGCTGTGTGTTTCAGGAAGTAAACCTCTACAGACCACATCAAGAGCAATCTTTTCCTCTGTCTCCAAGTTAGGTCTGGGCAGTAGGTAACATTGGCAAGAAATCAGAAGGCAGGAAAAGAGAATTGGAGTGTTTATTCTCCCTTGCTTCCTCCCTGCTGGCCATTTTTGTTTCAATAGAGGCTGTGTTGTGTACAGCCATGGCAACTGTCATGCAGCCCTCTCATGCAACTACAGTTCTCTGGGTTCCAGAAACATTGCTCCCCTCCCTTGCCCTGAAGGTCTGGGGTGATAAGTACCTTCTGCTGTTGCTAGTTCATGTGTGTTTCCCCACCCTTTGGTGGGTCCCTTATGTTGCCCCTGCCTCTATAAATAGTCCCTTCATTAAACCTCTTTCAAATAATCCACTAACTGTGCCATTTGTTACTTGCTAGGAGCTAGACTGATATAATTTCCAATAGCTCCTCTGGGTCATTTTCGGGGCCAGGTCTACACAATCCAATCCGTTCTCATTCCAAAGTAGTCAACTCAATAACTCTTTCACTGGTCCTTCAGTGAAAATGCAGCCCATCTTGTTGAACTCACTCCTTCATGGCAATTGCATATCATTATGACATTAGCCACTCTTTAGACTTACTTATAGTTTATCATTCATAAAGTCTCCATTTTCATAAATGCAACTTATCAAAATAAAAATAAAACTAGATTATTTTAGGAATTTGGTCACAAAAAGGAAGTAGCTTTTCTCAGTAATATCCATCTCACCTCCTTCTCCTTGTTGAGCAACACCAATTGGCTGTCTGTGAGGATGCAATACTTTCGTTCCCATGTTGTCGTCTCAGTATAGGGTGACTGGCCACAAGACAGACGATGGGTAGGTGGCCCTTTCACATCTGTGTGACAAATATGAAAAACAGAAGTGACAAATCATTATCATGCTTAGTAAACTAGTATTTTGAACATAAGATTCTTCAAAATCAAATTAAATAAAGAGGTCTAAACACGAATCTAAATGGTAAATTGAAAATTTAACTTCCTCTTAAAAAAGTAAAAACTGTTATGTACAGAGGGAAAAACTGGCCCTATAGTCTGCAGAAAAGAGGGCTGCAACACTCTAAGAAGAATGGTTAGCATAGACTTGACACAGTAACCACCACTGTGTATGCACTAAAATAATCAGAGGGAGCTTCAGAACTAAACCAATATCATTTAAAATAAAGAGGTGGGGGTGACTCAGACAAGAACAAAAGATACAGTCTCTGGTCTTTAGGAGGAAGATGATGTTGCATGTACACTTTTGAGAGTACTGTTGACCCAGGACTGAGAGAGTGAAGTTATTGGCAGCCTGTGCCTTCAAAATGGATTTATTGCTAGTCACTCATAAGAATTAGAAATGTTTAAACTATAGCATCATATTACCACTAGAGGCCAGTAAGATCTTAAAAACATAGAAAGCAATTTCCTCAAGGAAAGATCTAAACATATCACCATCATGTCTCTTAGAGGCGGAGGCATGCAACATCAAAGCTAAATGTCTCAATTCTTCTCAATGTCTTATTTCCCTATAAAATACCAAGTGGTTACTATTATTTTGTTACTTTAAATTTTTTGGACATTAATTGTTCATTCATTCAGGCTGCTGTAAAACTTGGAATATATCTTAATCTAAGTACACATTAGATCCAGTAAATAAGGCTTTTATGACAGTTCAATATATAGTATTAAAAGTTCTTTAGCCACGAAGGACTAACTCTGCTCAGGAATATACTGCAGGGATCATTTAAAATGCATTATTTATTACTATTTAGTTTTTACGCTAGAAGAACATCTCAAACTGAATAAATTAGAGAACAAACACCCATGAGGGCAGGAGACTCATAAATTATAAATAAGCACATTTTGTCTATTATGAGTGTTTTCATTACTATTACTATCTACAGACTTTTAGTCTTTTTATCACAGGATGATAAGTATGCCTGGTATTTACTTCAAGGAAATTCAAATGATTTCCCAGATGTTTTATACCATAATTACCCAAATATGTATAACTATAGTTGGAGTTCTGTAGAAAGTAAACAAGTCAGTAATTAGTGCAGTTAAGTGTATGTCTCTCTTCTTACATCCCCTTATGTGTCCAATATTATCTTCAGTGCTCCTTCTGGCTTAGCTACCTTTGCTCTCTCAAAATCTATCTAAACTTGTTGCTCTGCATGTTTTGGGGAGGTTATCAACTATCCTCCAAAATAATTCAAAGTCCAAGAACCCATAATGTTACTAGGGCTTGGCTGGACATGTTACCAATCCTTAGAAGTTCACTGTTTCTCCTTTATTCCCCCCTTATTTTTCTGCTTCTATCTCCTCTGCACTATGCACAGCAGTAGACACTGCATCTATCGCTTCTCCATTCCACACCAACTCTCTCTCCCACCACCCTCAAGTCTCCCTTTGTATTCTAAGCATCTTAAATTATTTAAAAGTTTTCTTTATATTTCAAAATTTCTTAAAATTATCACCAAAAAATTTAAAGGAACTGACTCAATCCTTTTTGATACATATAGGAGATTCTTGTCTATACTTAGCCTTGTCAAAGCTGATTTTCTTCACATGATTTGGACAAACAAGTGGGTTAGATTTTTACCACAATGTAGGCCTATTTTTAGAGTCAAATACCAAGACCACTTCAACAGAGAGGGATGCACCTACTTTATGTGGAAATGTGGTGGTTTTGTGGCCCAGACAAGTTTTCGTCCAAATGACTAACCTTCTTACATAAGTTAACCATAGGTGACCTAAACTGCCCACTGTAATTTAATTTGAACAGTAATCTTATGATCTATATACTAAGCAAGAAGATATTCATAGACTCCATAAAAATTAGAATATAGGATACCATATATATAGCATAACCCAGGATTCCTGACAAAATATAAATTTGTATCAGCATTGAATTTACAAAAATCTAAATTCTCTTCCTGTGTCATCCTGAGTAATTCTCTTCAAGTCTCACTGTCTCATGTCTCTTTCTCTAACCTGAGCTTTGTTCCTAGTTTCTTCACGGTATTATGAAACTAGACAATGACTCACAAAGCATTTCTCGACCCCAAACTACTTCTCCCCAGTGCCGAGGTAGAATGAAGTACAGACCAACACTTCTATATTTTAAAATTTTCTGTCTAAATTATGAGATTGATTAGCTCTGTTATAATTTCAATTTGTTTTTTACTCATGTCCCCTTTTTGACAATTTTATGAGAATGCATACCAAGGAAGAAAACAAGAAAGAAGGATAACTAACTTAGAATTACAAATAAAAATCTTATTAGCAAAATTGGAAAAAAAATTTAGATTTGCACTGTCCCATTCCTATAAGGATACTAAGGACACTGGATACTGGCCTTATTATAAAAATTGAATAATTTGAGAGACATTAAAAAGAATCAGAGGTTGCCCTTTGGAAAGCACTTCTCTAAGATTGGATATTATCAGTAGACTAGTAATTCTCAAATTTTTTTGATCTCAGGATCCCCTTAGGCTCTTAAAATTACTGAGGACTTCAGACATCTTTTGTTTATGTGGGTTATATTTATCAATATTTACCATATTAGAAATTAAAACTGAAAAATTTTTAAAATATTTATTCATTTAATGATAACATAACATCTATTACATGTTGATATAAATAACACATTTCTAATGAAATGTAACTATTTTCCAAAACAAAAAAAATGAGAAGAGTGACACTGTTTTGAGTTTTGCAAATCTCTTTTAAGTCTAGCTGAACAGAAGACAGCTGGGTTCTTATATGTGTTTCAACATTCAATCTATTGCTTTATGTTGTTTTGGTTGAAGTATATGAAGAAAATCTGGACTCACACAGATATGTAGTTGGAAAACAGAAGAGTATTTTAACAGCATTTTTAGATAACTGGGGATCATCTTTTTTAATACCATACCAAAACCTGACAAGCAGTTACTTCTTAAAAGTGAGTAAAATATGGAATCTAACACCACATCAACCGACTTTTCATACTCTGTTACATAAAAAATCACTGGTCTATCTTGTCCTCTGAATGGATCCTTTACCCATGCACATAAATTTGTAACATTATGCATTGATCATTTAGAAAATATCAGTTCACTTAGTTTTGCAGATCTTACAAATGTTGACACTTTTCATAATATCAAAAAAATCACATTCATTAACCTTCAGAAAAGTCCTGATCTCATCAGAAAAGTCTTTAAGTACTGGAAAGCTGTCAAGCTCAAGGTGGCAGATTCAAATTTTCAAAAATACTAACTTTCATTTTTAGTCTTGAATTTTATCACTGGCAATAAATACTGTTGGTTTTTTCCCCTTAAGTGACAGGTTTACGTCTTTCTCCAGAAAATGTCTGCCAAATAACCAAGATCGAATAACTATAGTTTGCCTATTCAGTTGTTCTTTCAAATAAAAATGGTGTTCCATGAAAAACAAGTGGCAAGTCCAGCTCGCAAATCAATCCGTACAAATGTTTTCCACTGTTATAACCATCATACTTTAGTTTGCAGCTTATGAGTACTTTCCGTGTCATCACATAGAATGTTAAAAAGATGTAAACTCTAGGGTTGAGATTTAATAAAATTAAGGATTTTCACTGAGTTCTCACGGATATTCTTAAGTAAAAGTTCTTTCTTCCCTACTGTATGTGGCAGAGAAGAATGCAATGACTACTGGTATAGTTCGATGCCACGCCTTGATTCCTGCTACTGAGTCAGTAGTTTTATTCATAATTAGTTTTGCATCATCAGTGTAAATATCAACACGGGGGGAAAAAAAAAAAAAGGCAAGTCTTATTATGAAAAGAGTTTTAACCTAGCAGGATCAGGGGGATCCTCGGGTTCTAGGGCTCCACGGATCATACTTTCAAAACCATTTCTTACACAATAGGAAGCCAATGAAGGACTTTAAGAAAATTTGGCAATAGTTTGTAAGATGAAGTAAGTAGGGAAAAGTCCAGAGGTCTTATACAATGAATGAGAGACTAATATAATGGCCTGGGTAAGGGATGATTAGGGTCATAGATTGGTGACAGTAGAAACAGAAAGAAAGGGATTATGTGAGCTAGATTTTGAAATAGGAATCAATTGCACTGGTAACTCTCTAGTTGTTTGTGGTGGAAGAATAGCACAAAAGACGAGAGAATAAAAGAGTAATTAATACAAATATAGACTGATAAATGCTCATGAAGCAGGTTATATAACTGTAACTCTGCTTCAGTTTTAGCAGGGAAGTCCAAAGCAAAGTTTTTCAAAAAAGGAATAAAGAAAACCTAAAAGGGAAGCTTTTGAATTGGAATTGAATTTGAAGGATTCAGTGTAATCCATTACATCCAAATCCTTTCAAAACACCATTCAAAATACCAGATTATTTAGTTTACCTCTAAATCTAAAAATCAAACCCTGGGCCTCTCCAAATGCTAATATTAATTTAGTAACCACTTGGCAAGGAAACAACAACAAAAAACTTATGTGTAATCTTTCCTCATAACCCTTCCTTGTAACCAGAGAAGGGGGCATCATGGCTTGTCACATCACTTGACAAAAAAGATGAACAAAAAGATATGATAGAGCTGGAAATTCCAATAGGTATATCTATAAATATCCACAAAGTAACTTTTCCCTTAGAGGGTAAGCATCTTCTTGTTTCTTCCAGACTTAGAAAGCATCTCAAAAGACCTACAGTAGGAGAGTAAACAAAGGGATCTAATTGGAAGCAGAAAAAGGGGTAAAGGAGAGTAGAAAAGAACAAGTCTATGACCCAAATATGGAGAATGTCGAAGAAAGAAACTGCTTTGGTAAATTTTATTTTTGCATCTTACAGTTCCTTAGAAGTTCATCTGAGTTGCTTTTGAATC